TACGTCGAAGGCACTCCGAGCAACCAACAGAGCGGTGGGACGACGTCTTCTGAAATACAACCGGCACACTCAACATCTCGTCGGGCTTCGTCGTTCAGATATGAGATGAACTCTCGTCTTCGCGATTCAAATGCGTCTTTGAGGCAAAGCATCGATGGGTTGGTAGAGAAGGACAGACGATAGATGGACACTTAGAATTCTGGAATGGCTCCCTCGCGAAGCAAAGTGGAGACAGGCCATCAGATGGGCTGACGTGTTCCTTGCACGGATGGACCAGCTGAATTCTCAGCTGATAACAAGCAATGGATCTGGACCTCGCGAATTCACTCCGCAGTTGAATGCCAGCATCGTGGATGACGCTAACGAGGGACAGAAAGGATGGAAACAGTACTGGGGCCCGCACGACCAGTGAAGACAGGCCATTCAAGTATCTAACTGTAAATTTGTTGTCGATTCTTCATCAAACCTGTATATTCTATGCAAAAGATTGTTGTGGTTGGAAAGCAGCGAAGTTTCATACATATAATAATTTATTACATATAAAGACATAACTATTTCTGTGGTGCAATGCCCAGGTATTTGCATATTATTGAAAGCATTACTTCATCAGCCCCCGCTCCTACTGAGTGCAGGCGGAGATCGCGGTGCATCCTACACACTGGGTTGTCCCATGTGAATCCATTTCCGCCCCAGAACTAGATGTGAAATTACTGTTGGAAAGAGAGAGATAAGAAAGTGAAAACCAACTTGTAAACAACTGTCTGTTACTACTCGGGCCAGTCTACCAGCTTTCAGTTTAGCCATCGAGGCTAACAGCGTTACATCGTCACCATTAACTCGCGATAGCACCGCTCTAGGAAAGGCAGCTGTAGTAAAAACAGTAAGAGCGAGAGGCCTCTAACCAATAACCTGTATAAGAGGGCTCGCACAGCTTCAAGTTCAGATTGGAGCTCAGCTAATGTGAAATGGACGGTCTGCAAAGGAGGCAATGCCTGTCACGACCTTAACCAGATTATTTTGCATACCTGCTGATTCAAAACGGTGCTTCCAAAAATCTTTCGCTCTCTGGCATATTCAGATGTAAGCGAGATACATCGTTGTAAAGGTTCAAGTACTGAAAAGATTGATTGTTAAAGAAGTTTTGTTGCTATTTGTCGGATACGTACATACAGCTGCCGTCACAAGGCGCTCGTCTTGAAACTGTAGCATTTGATAGATGAAACCCTGTCCTTCTTCACCGATGATATTACGAGCGGGTACCTTAATTTTGAGTGGATATTTGTGTACAAATACATTGCTCTACTCGAGACATGAAAATCAAATGAAAAGTGTCAGAAGGCCCTAAATAATTTTCTGTTGATATATAACAAGCAGATAAAATTCTCATTCTGGCATTGCAGGAATCAGCGAAATGTTATGACGCCGCGTAATAATTCTTCAAAACAACTCAAATTCATGAATGACGAACG